CTATACCGCTTGCGCAAGTGGCCCGTTATCCCATCCTTTCCGTGTAGGACCACCTGGTCTTTTTTCCTCTGGAGCAAATGACGAATCGTTTGTAGAGCCCTTTTCTGATTCTTGATTCGTCGTTCTTTCTCAGTTCGTTCAAGGCAGGTCAGTAAGGCTTAACTGCCTAGATGGCCGGTTCCAATCCCTATCGAAATTCTCCTCCTCTTCTACATTTTGTAGGCTTTCTTCTCCTAATGCAGTCTCTTCATTCTCTGGTTTCTTTTTTAGACTAATTCCTAAGTCTTTTTGCCTTTCCCACATATCGGTAATGCGGTATGATTTCTGCCCTTCGAGTGCTAGTTGCTTTGCTTTTACCCCCCGCTTCCACATAGCTGTCCGGCCCACTGGCCCTCCACGCACTACCTGTGGCAGTGATGATCTGGCCCCCTCCTGCCATTGTAATGCCTGGATCTCTTTCTCGCGTAAGTCCTCCTCCTCTAAACTGTGACTCTCCTCCAAGCAGCTTTCACTCGCTAATATGTCTTCATCCCCTTCGACTTCACCATCCTCATCTTCATCATACTCGGAATTAGTTTCCGATTCTGATTCGGACGGTGAATCAACTCGTCTTCTGGTATGTGGATGGAGAATAGTGGGGATTTTGTACTGCTTCTCTTTGGTGAATATCTCCCTTCGACGTTTTGCCCGTTCTGCGGTCATTTGTCGTTGTTGCAAATAGTGAACCCGCTTCTTTGATAGAGGCATTGTAACTATTCTCGTTTTAAAATAATTTTCTTCTCTTCCTTGCTCAAACCACTACCACTTTCTGCAGGTTTCTTTTTCACTATTTACGTAATATCTTGGCACAAATCATCAGATATCACTCGATGTTCCTATTTGGGCACATTCTTGGTGTAACCACCCTACGTTATAGAGCTATGGCAACCTAAGTCTACGCCCATACATAAGACCAAGAGGTCATATGGTAGACTAGGCGGGCATGCCTGAGCATGTCTGGGAGATATCCGATGGTCCGGGTATCCCGAAAGAATAGAAGGTACTTGCGATATAGGTGTATCTAAGTAGCGGAAGTAACGTGACTATGTCGGTTTCGGCCTAAGGATAGGTCGGAAGGCCGGGTGAGTTTACCCTGTCTAGGTAAGTCACGTTACCCTGCCATGGGGACCAGTTTCGTGTCACCATGGATATACTTACCCTACCTTTGGGAGACTATAACCCTACCTTCCGTCGGAAACGTTCTCGGAAAGATTTCGTGTAATGTTAGGATTGTTTGTTACGCAATAACGATCAATGGGCACTTGCTTGGACATTGATCGGAAGACTACGGGAGGAGCTAGGGTGCTCCGAACATGCTGTAACTTGGCAGGATAATTCCTAACAGGTACCTGCGGCCCCAGGGTTCGCCCCGGGCGTCATGGGCCAAAATGGGAGAAGTTGCCATCTTACTAGTTAAATGGAATCATTGAAGACATGTCCATAACACTGTATACGTCGCTGCCGTCCGTCCGACCGGAAGCTGTTCGCAGGATATATAAGGGGGCCAAGGTGAGAAGGTCAAGTACCTTCTCCAAAAGGAACGGAATAAAATGCACCAAAACTGAAGGAGTTAGCGTGAGCTATCCGGAAGGGTCCCTAGAGTAGTCCCGGGTAGTGCCGGAGACATCTGGGAAGGTCTTACGCCAATCATGCCTACACGTGCCCCTTTACCGTAGGCTCTTTATGGGTTGTTGGAAGACTCTAATAGCATGATACCTATCACGCTGAGTGGTGTGCCGGAGGTAAGGGACCATGGGTAGCGCCCACGGGTCCCGCCACCAACACAGCTCTACGTGGGAGCGTCGTAGACCCCGTAAGTTCGCAATCAAGAAAGATAGAACTTAACCGGAGAACACCTCATGTCTACGGGTGCTTGCATGGATCATAGCACATGGGAAGAGAGTCATTTAGTTAGCTTTCATAGGAGTCTCGACAGTTAGCCACTGACGAGACACCGATGCGCAGAAGTTTTCGCTCCGGCAGGTGTATTGGTAAACACCTTGCAGGAACTGATGTGCATATGAGAGAATTTTGCTAGAAGTGGGCTGACACCTTAGCCCCTTCGGGGACGCGGTAATGGTGCCGGCAACTCTTACGGAGAAGGGTATACTCGTGTTGGTCGGGACCACCTGATGGGGGAGCTTTTGGTATAAGTCTGACTACTTGAAGCTTATACGAGAACTCTCCTGCCCCGACAGAATCAACATCCTCTCGCGAGACTTTAATTGAGATAAGCCTGAGCTTAACGATATTAAGTTTTACCGTTTACTTTTATTCTTTACACTTTACAAGAGTTGTGTTCGAGACACTTGAAGTTTGGAGCGGTCGCATCCTTAGGAACCATCTACCTGAGGGAGCCCCCATTACACTTGGCTGTTCACTTTTTTTTCTGCTCACACAAAATCTTTGCTTCTTTTTATCTACCACCTGCCCTCACCATGTTCTTAATTAATAAAATAAATCCATCCTTTTATTCTGCCACTGTTTCTCTTCATTTCTGTGCTCTTATTTTTTCCATAACATCAATCTTGTGTTGCTGTCGTTCATGTATAGTTCTCTTCTTTTGTTGTTGCCTTGAGGGTTGGTTTCCCGCGTCTGGAACTGTACCTCCCCCGGCCGTAAACCACGTACCTCCCCCGGCCGCAAACCCCGTACCTCCCCCGGCCAAAACCCCTATCTCCCGTTCCTAAGCCTTCTATTGCAGGCCCCCTCCCATTGCTCGTTAGCTAGGACGCCACTCCTTCATAGGGCTTGCCGGTCATTGGGTGGTAGTTAGACGAGACTCTGGAACTATAGGATTGCAAATGGTGTAACTAGAGCAACAAATCAATTGCCGTACACATTGTTTTCATATTCGTTTAGAGCGTCAATGCATATGAATGTACACTTTTCTGAAGAGGTATCCTGCAGCATTTTCATAACATTGGAAGGTCGTAGCCTTCGTGTACCAATAAATTTCGGGTGCCCAGTACACTTGTGGATCACTGCTCCTTTTGGGCAGCGAAGTTAAAGGAAATACATCCTACTATAATGTTTTGTCCTCCGGCCCCATCATACAAACTGTGCCTGCACTGTGTGATTCAGATTTAGTTCGATGATTTCAGCTCTGTGTTTTGTATCACTCATCATCTGTTACTGGACATTCTACTGACGCATAAATGGAGGAGCAAATTGGTTGTCCGCCATCAGATGGGGCAGTCATTGCAGGCTAACAGATGCTAAGAATTTAGGCCAACAGTATCACCTGCGACTGTATTCTGGTAAGAAGCATGTAGGTCCACATTGCCAGAGATGTATAGTTGTCCAGTGGCATGAGGAAAAAATGGAACTGAGGAATGAATAGTGTACAGGGTGAGGGGGAGCATGCCACATAATTATACCGAGTCCGGCAGCTGCTTGATTCATCTTACATGCTTTAGGGTCCTCACCGGTTCTAGCGGGAAAAACAATGCACATCCATCCTCCTTCTTGCCTTCTCGTTCCCCTCTCCATCAGAGATCCCGCCATTAGTGTAGCCAGCGACAGAAGGCCGCGAACGGGAAATCCACTTCCAGTAAATTTCCCTTCGGGCGTAAGAAACGAGGAAACAAAGATGAACCCAAATGACCCAGTATGGGTGCGCAACCATTTTTGTCCACTGAAACCGGGGTCACATATACTAGCGCCGGAACTGCAAACCAACGCCACCACAGGTAAACGGTATCGTCGGAGGCTGGGAGGTAGTGGGAGAGTCCTTTGTAGGAGAGCGGGACGCACCGGGGCTAGCAAGGCGGAAGAGTTCATTGAGAAGTATGTGTCGGAATGAGAGAGCGGGAGACGTGCGAAGAAAGGATGAGAATGGAAATGTGTAGTGATCAGTGGAAGGATAGAAGGATTGGAGGATGTGTTCGTTTTTTTGGTCTAATATACCTGCCATCTTTTCCATTAGTTTAGTTTTAAATGAAGTGCGAAACAGATATCTTACCTCACCGAGAAGCCCTATTGTGATCGTGGTATGACCGTCCAAGTCTTTGCCTTATCCGGTTACTATGACCTTGCCGTTTTTTCAATATGAGTGGATCATGGTGGCGATATGGGTGAGGCGGAGGTGGACGTATAGGCCCGTGTGGGATGTATTCGGAGGAGTGAGAATGGGAATGGCCAGATGGGGGATGAGGGGAGAAGGTGGGGGGATGGATGGATGGTTTAAACCCGGTTAAACCTTGATCGGGTGGCGGTGCAGATCTTGGCATTTGTCGGGTAAGTATAGTGGTCTAATATACTCATCTGGCGGTCTATCAGCTATTATTGGTTAGCGTCCAGGGTTGGTAGGCACCACGGTATCATGCCGGACCTTGTACTTGTATACTTGTACAGTAAGAATCTCAGAAATTGTTTCTAAAATTTTGTCAGCATGATACTCGAGGCAGCTGCAAATCAAAGGAAAAAAGGGAATGCTCTTAGCAACAAAAACGCAGAGTTAGAGAAAGGTACTGCTGTTATCACAACGTGCATCAGTTGTAGTGAGCTTCGAGGTCTCCAACACCCGGGGGTCTATCATGGTATATGTACTGCTGGGGTGACTCCCGGGCCCATGGGTAGTGTGCAATGGCTGCCGGGAGTGGACCCGACTGGCTAAACCGTTTTTCCACCACCTCGGAGTGATACTTCCGGGCTTTGCACAATTGGCAATGCCTTGTTCAAACTCGACATCTGCTATAGACCCAATACATACAAACTTGCACAAGCAATTCTCAATAATAAAAAAGTAGGCAATCCCCTCCGGTTGCAAGGTAATCATACCCACATCATGTCGACGGTTGAGACTGCTGTCAGTAATACGGTGGCACCTGCCCCGGCGCCGGAGTCCTAGGGCCAAGCGGGGAAACTGGCGTGGCGCTAACAGGGTACGGCAGCCTGATGCCCGCTCCCCCGCCCGTAGGGTAAGGTGGTGTCCCGGCAGAACTAACTGAAGAAACACTTCAGCTGCTAGCAGAATTCAACCTCCTCAATTCCTTCACTTTGTTCCTTGAACTGTCCAGTTCAGCTTGCGTCTCTGCCCCCCTCTTCTTCAGCAATTCTATCTCTCCGTCCTCCTCCGCTAGCCATTTGCGTGCAGATCCCTCGAATTACCTGCCGATAACTTTGTCTTTATCCAGTCTAGTTCTTTCAGCGCGCTTACTAACTCTGCTTGTGTTTTACGGGTTTCCGATTGAGTCTCGGTGGACTTTGGTCTAAAGTATGCGAGTTCTATCCGGGGGCCTTCGATGTCCGGGACCTCCTCTATCCCTTCAGCGCTACCGGCGGTGGATTCGAGGGCTCTCTCGAGATGCCCTGCGTAACGCTAGACAACTCAGTCTTTTGGGGCAGCCGGGAATGCCGAGCTGGGGATTGAGGTCGTTGTTGCAGGTCGTTTTGTAGCCGAATCGATTACAGCGTGCTTTGGTGCTTGAAGGAAATCTGTTAGACGTTGGTATTCTTCATCTGGTTTAGTAGAACCTGAATGAGCATCCAATGCTCAAACCCATCGATTATTAATGCTGGTAGCGGGGGTCGGCTTTTTCCATCACTGATAGGGTGGGGTACCGGAAGGCATTGGCAATTGAGCTTGTTGTAGAGGCTAGTAAGGATCCTGGGACGGGTCGTGTTTTCGAGAATAATTCTATGAATTACAGCTTCGCTTTCTTGGGTTGTTAACACCACGGGGAGAGGTTGGGGGTGGGAATGAGCGTGCGTTACTGGGGATCCGGAGGGTGAAGGAGAGGAAGGGGGGGAAGGAAAGGGGTGTGGTGGTGTTTGGGCCTCGGAAGGTTGTGCCGGGTGCTTTAATGCTGGCAGAAGTAGTATTAGATGCCGTCTCCCTCTCTTTGTCTCTGGCATGGGGGAGTCGCCGGTGTTGGTCCCTTGCTGGCGCTGCTTCCGTGGGATTCGAGATCGTACTCATAGGACTGATGGCCCGAATTATTCCTACGGAGGAAGAAACTATTCCAGCGGAAATGACAGTGGACGACTCCGTCATGCTGGAGGTGGGAGTGGGATGCGTCGCAGAGGGCATATTCATGACTTCACAAGTCCGCAGAAACAAAGGCTCAACTCCCAACATCAATACCGGCCCAGAACTCGCCGATCCGTCATGATACCTTTGGATCCTGATCTCCCGAACTAGAGCTTCATTGACCGCTTGCACCTCCTTAGGCGTCGCCTCCTCCAACGCCAGGGTCATAGCTGTGACCCCTGCTTGCACCTCCTTCTTCACATTCATTGCAACGGCCTCAGGCGCCACTTGCTCAATGGTGTACTCCTCAGCCCCGCCAACACTGATGATCTCGCCTAGGTTTTTCAACTCTTCCATCATAGTCACCTCATGTACCCTCGACAAGGTAACCCGACAATAAAACTCATTCCCGTACTGGGTCAAAAGCTCAACCTTCAAATACCTCGCCCATACGAGTTGGTTCTCAATCAGCAAGGCCTGCACCTGCCAAGAATTCCGCTCTTCGAAGGTACTGAGATCCTTCCAGCCATTCCGTTTGATTGGATACCGATCTCTGACAAACATCTTGATACTATGAAAGATGGATGAGGAAAACTCAAATCCCACCGCGACGGCCATATCAACGGGTATGTCATCGCACAGCTCCACAATGAATAACTTGTCAACACCGCATTTATTGAGCATGTAGCTGCTCTAGCCAGAAGGGCCCAAAGCGTTGCTAAAGAACCGCTAGCGCAACCGCGCTGGTTCCCGCGCCCTTCTCACAGCGGGTGCAGCGCCTTAGGCAAAGGTAACCAATGTCCGAAAATCACGAGGGGAAGAAGGTTCATGACAATTCAGCATACTTTTATTATAGGTGCTTGGAGCTTTATATACAGCACACGCTCCCTCCCCCAAAGCACCCTATACCTCAGTAGTGAGAAAATTGGGTAGCACCAGCACGTTAGGAAAACCCTTCCATGCCCGGTAGAAAGAGAGTAAGTAAAGAAAAGAAAAAAAGAGAAGGGAAAGACAGACAAGCAAATGCCCCTAATGAAACAAGAACCCATGTGTGTTCATTTTGGATAATGCGCGAGACCAGGTAAGACATGATTAGAAAGCGGTGCCTAAGCCAAATCAAGAAAAATAAGATTATGAAAACAAAAAAAAAAGCAGCCACTCTATGAATGATGCAAGGCTTTTTTTAAGTTCGGCAAGCGGAAAAAGGTAGAAAGAAACAAAGACTTATTTCGCACAAGAAACGAAACACACCAATTTTCGTGCCCCTTAAGGCCTTTGTGCTGTGGCTGTGGGTGGGTTGGCTTTTCTGGACGAACGTTTTTTCGGCTTCCTTCGGTTCACTTCGTTCTCGGCGAAGCCGACCAACACCTCGTAGGCAAGGGTGACCTCCGTTTTTTTTTCATGAAAGGACTCGTCGAACTTAGACTTTTCAAACAGAGAGATAAAATTTGAAAACAGGTCAAAGAATTTCGGGGTGGCTATTTTGCGCTTCAAGCTGAGAATGCTGGCGTGGGTATTCAAAAGATTAATTGTCACGTGATGCTCTAGTAGACAAGTTAGCCTAGTCATGTTCGTTATGGACGAGATTTTATGGGTAGGGTAGATCACTCACTTATCTGTTCGACGTCTTTCGGCAAAACACCATACAAGGTCTTGAACGCTTCTGTATCGGTACTACCGTTAGGTTTGTCATCAAGGGTATGGTCGAAAAGTATGTCGCCCCAGTGAGCCACCTTATTTCCTTGCTCGATAGTTTTTTTCTTCTCTTCGGTACGTCCGAAGTGCTTGTTACTAAAGGAAACTAGAAAACGAGACCCAATTTGTCGGTAGCTTTCACTAGAATTGGTAAGGAATTCCAAACGTGCTTCTTGACTCTTGTCCGCTATGTTCAATTCTGCCATTTTCTTTTTGAGTGCCCCAAGCTTGACGTCTAGACGATGAGAATTATTGGCCAGATCGAGTCCCCTAGCGTTGCCAACAAGGGTTTCTTTATTTTGCCTTCGAACCACAAGTTTCTCGACTTTCGCAGCTTGGGTGACGCTTTCTCTGGCGTCGGGGATGAGACTCTCAATTGTTCTGATGGGTCTCCTAGCAACAACGACTGCATCAAAAACGCCCACATCATTTCCCCCCCGAACGCCCTCTCGACTGCTCCATGTTTTGCTGGGGCTGCGGTTGGGTTTAAACATTACAAACTTGGGATGAAACCACCCACGCAGGCCCTGACGAAGGGAAACCAAACTCGGCATAGCGGAATCCTTTTCTTTTTTCCCTTGTGTGGTGCCGGTGGCAGAAAATTGGTAACTGTTGGCAAGAGTGGTGGGAGTGGGAGCGGAGGGAGTGGGAGTGGTGTTGATAGGAGTGGTGGGAGTGGGAGTGGCGTTGATAGGAGTGGTGGGTCATCCGTTACTTGTGGTAAGCAAATAATCCGGTTGCCAAGAAGTCTCTCTACACAGGAAATTTGCAGCACTACTACTTCTTGGCAACCGGATTATTTTGCTCACCACAAGTACCGTAAACTCTCGCTAAATCCACCATCAGGAATCTGGGGCTTGGCGCACTTGCAGGGGGATATGCGCAACAGGACCCACCATACCAAGCTACAATAGACTTAGCAGAGCAGGTTAATAAAATTGCGAATACAAGTTAACAAGATCTACCAAGTTCAGCCTGCCCAAGCTATACCTCATTGAGAAAAAGCTATTCCTTTACGGGGTCTTTTGTCTCAGATCAACGATGGTGGATTTAACGAGAGTTTAGGGTACCTTGGGTACACAAATTACCCCTAACCCTTGATTTCTAGCCTCTTTCATGCATTCTCTATCCCTTTTGGATCTGAACTACCCCCCACAAACTTTCGGTTGTTGTACCTCTACCAAAGGAAGGAGCAGGGGTTCATTTATCTGATATTGTATGAAACTAGCAGCTTCTTTGTGTTAAGAATCCTACCGGACAGGTGAGTGCGACAGGTCACGATTCTTACTTAGGTAGGAGGTAATAGTTCTTAGGCCTTTGCCTACATGATATCAATAGTCAAGTCCTTTCACTTCCATCTGATAGCGCCTATTCCTCTATCCGGCTTAAATCCTCGCTCGGGACTTAAGCGTTTGACTTGGGGACAAGAAATAGTGTTCCCGCTTAGGAGGAAAGACAATTCTCGGGTTTCTTAAGATAAATCTTAAAGAGCCTAAAGCTAGGTTTTATTGATAAAATATAAAGGTAAGAAGTAAACAAGAAGAACATGTGAAGAGCTAATACTCGAGGTCCTAGTGACCTTTTATATAGTAGCTCTTCACCTGGTGTGACTCATACCTTTGCGTCATGCGAACCCTGTGACTCATAACTATGAGTCCTGCGAAATCAATCAGAAACTCCTATGAGTCGCTGTGCACCCTGCCTGAAACCAATCAAAATATAATAACAAAGTGAGGTGCATAACTCACGCCTCCTGAGTGAAACCGATGACTCATAACTATGAGTCCTATGTGAAAATCATAACATTGTATGACTCACAACTGTGAGTCATGAACAGGTAGACATAATAACCTGTGGCACACTAGTGTACATTATGTGAAATTCCAACATACCTATAGCTTGCAATTCTGAGCTATGTAAAATCTGCCTTGCTTAGTCACAGTTTGTGACACTTTGGTGGTATAGTGGTCTATGGAGGTACAGCATATAAGTTTTGGAGATTTGTTTCTAGCAGGGGTTTGCTGCTGGTAGGGGGGGCAAGTACAATAAATCAGGTATAGTGGCTGGGTATACATGCTAAGGGCCTCCGGAAAAAACTGCAATGGAAGTCATAGAGGTGTGTTCTGTTTGTATGAAAACTTATCTAATATTTCGTGAAGAGGCCATCGGCCTCAATAACTGCCCAACACTGGGAAGACATGCATCAGCAAAAATAAATCCTGTGTCTGATGCACAGGCATGGTGTCCTGACACAATTCGTTTGCCTGTTGCATCCAGTATGTCCAGTGCGTTCTGTGTCATATCGGTGCAGCCTCCCGCATCCTGGGCATCCTGAGTTGCCACCCATCTACCCCTTGTATCCTGTAAGTCTTGTATGTGGCAACCATGTCCTAGTGACGTCCCGTCCTCCTATCCTTTGTGCTACGCCCTTGCTCCGTCCTGACTCCTCGCTCTCGTTTAGGCGAGCGCCAGGTGCCCCAGTGCGTCTTGTCGCCTACTGAACTCATCCCGATGGCCTGACGCCATCCCATATTGCGATGTCTGCAGGCCAGCCCACATTGCAACATCCGGATGCCGTCCTACATGGTAACGTTTGGCGACTCCAATAACAATAGATTTGGTTACGATGTCGGGACTCCGTTCCAAACATCTGACTGGACTAGGTGCTTGATTATGAAGATCAGCTCCCATGTTCTACTAGTATCGTCCACCTTTATTTAGACATCGCATGATACTCAGGCTCAGATGATTGATAGGTTTAAGTTCACTGATCTTCAAGACAAATTATTCTATTTCTACATTCCATTTACTATACATTAACCTTCACAGCCGTTTACTCTGACCCGGTCTCCACATCGCCCTGGCACTTATGCCCTGCTGCTGTAACTGAGATTTGTGGGATTCTCCTGCTTCCATATTGGGGAGATTTGGCCAAAGTAATTGCTCTGACGACGCTGAGCAATGGCTCAGACCAAATCTCCTTTTTTTTCTTTTTCATTTGATGTGGTGTCGGCTACTGGAATGGCCTACATATGGGGACATCCCGGGTTTGTTAAGGCTCCTTAGCCACATCCGACTTTTCAATATAACTCGTTGAAGGTCCTTAAATCAATATTACTATTGACAAGCCACCGCCTGTCCACCTCTGGGATTGGATAGGCTAGTTCTAATATCGTGCCTATGTCCAATATTGTAAACCGTGGCGCATGCAGCCTAAGATGTAGCGTAACAAGATCATGTAGCACTGATTTACGTTCAGAGTTAAGTACATTGAGCATTTGAACACATGCAAGTTGGTAGACTCTATCCATGTGCCTGTAGTACCGGAGCTTGAGCAGTGCTATGATTTTCCCCGGGAGACATGCTCTAAGGGTGCCATACATTTGGCTCCCACCAGTCTCTACCCAAACCCAATCATTGCGACTCATCTGATTCTAGAAGAGCTTTAGTACCCATCTTTCATACCTGGTGGATGTCATAAGTATCGGTTCCTTGGAATGTAAGAACAGGGATTTCCAGTTGTGTTAAATAGTTAAACAAAGAGAGTCAGAGTATTCCCAGCTCTGGCGGAACCTGGCATTCGTGTAATGGACAGGGGCTGAGGGTTGGGTAGCCCAAGGCATACCACGATCAGGACAGAAAGGAGTTTGGGAGACAAGGACTTGGTGTGGGGGTATGTTAAGAATCCTACGGGTCGGGTGAGTAATGCGAGAGGTAACGATTCTTACTTGAAACGAGGTAATAGTTCTTAGGCCTGTGCCTATGCGACATCGATAGTCAAGTCCTTTCGACTTCTATCTTATTGCGCCTATTCCTCTTAATCTTCTGAAGTCCTCGTTTAGGACTTAGGCCCGAGTCGTGGGACGAGAAATAGTTTTCTCGCTTAAGGTGATGTAAAGGTTAAGGAGCGTAAAGGGAGGTTTTATTGATAAAATCTTAAAGGTAGGAAATAAACAAGAAGAACGTGTGAAGAGCTAATACTAGGGGTCCTAGTAACCCTTTATATAGTAGCTCTTCACCAGGTGTGACTCATACTTATGCGTCACGCGAACCTTGTGACTTATAACTATGAGTCATGCGAAATCCCTCAGCTGACTCCTATGAGTCGCTGCGCAACATGCCTAAAACCAATCAAAACATAATAACCTATGGTGCACTAATGTGCATCATAAGAAAACCCAAGATACCTACAGCTCGGAATTCCGCGCCATGTACAATCTGCCTTGCTTAGTCACAATTTGTGACAGGGTATAACTGAAGCGAGTTGTACAAGGCTCAGGGTTTAGGATTTCAGGGTCAGGGTTCAGAGGTTCCAGAGGACATGAAGTCGAAGAGAGTGTAATTCTTGGATATCGGTGTCCGAATTCAATTCAATTTTATTTATACTCGCCATGCCAAAACATGGCATATGGGCAAGCAATCATCCTATGGTACACCTACTATAAGGGTAGATGGGCCTCCGGTGGACTACAAGCTGACAGGAACTATCCTCGAAAGCAGCAGCCTGGGGCTGGGGTCCCCACGATACACTGGTGTGCTCCTCTAAATAACAACTACCATACAAAGTGCAGAAGACTCCGAGTCCTGACCGTCAAACACTCCTGCAAGCCAACAAATATAAGAGCTAAATACAAGACCCATCATGGATGCTCGCTCCACCTACACTAACTGACAAACCAACACCCAACTGAACATGAATAGTGTGACTGAAGCCCGGAGTCATGTCAAGTGAGGCAAAGGTAGTTACGGCCGGTGACCATCACAAAAGTAAAACAAATTAAAAACATTAAATCCTGTCTTCATACCGTCCTGCAATTCTATCCTCCCCTGTACTAGAATATGTCTACACCACAGAGCCAGCCACCCAACAGGGGTAAATACTGGGTGTGGTACCAACACCAATACGAAACAACCCGACCAGGTCCCCAGCCACCGAGGACGAATGCCACACTTGCAATGGGTGTGACTGCCAAGCCCCAGTGGTCAGCCAGGTTCCTAACCAGGCCGCCACGAATCAGCCCCCACCAGGGAAGCCAAGAGCCAATCACCCCACACTACTCCAAATAAATTAGAGGGGGGGACAAACCTCAGCGTCAAAGCCATTCCCACACGACACGCGGGTGGGGAGGAGACCTAAAAGATACCACAAATGCAAGTGAACGGACTATATCCCGAGAAATGGGCGGACAACGAATGACGTGTGAACGTTCAGGCACTCGAACTGTAACGGGGGCTCCCTCAGGTAGATGGCTCCCAAGGATGCGACCGCACCAAACTTCAAGTCTCTCAACACAGCTCTTGCAAAAGTATAAAGAATAAAAGTAAACGGTAAAACTTAATATCGTTAAGCTCAGGCTTATCTCAATTAAAGTCTCTCGAGAGGATGTTGATTCTGTCGGGGTAGGAGAGTTCTCGTATAATCCTTAAGTAGTCAGACTTATACCAAAAACTCCCCCATCAGGTTACCCCGACCATCATGAGTATGCCCTTCTCC